TGGAAATTCCGAAAGAAAGCGGGAACAGGAGACGCGCCAACCGAGCACGAGAATGGAGACCCGCAACCGACGCTGACTCCAGCCTCGGCGTCAATCGAAGCAGACATGGGGTGGGGTCGCAGGATTCCGTCACCGGGGGAACAAATCGCGCCTGCGATGCCACGATTCGGCGTGACGCACAGTCCCCGGGTGGTCTGTTTTCCGATGGAGGTAGAAGCATCGACGGCGAGAAGCGCGACAAGGAAGAAGAAGGCAGCGGCAGGCTGCTGGACGAGTTCGCCGGAGCCGCAAAGTGAGTGGATGGCTGCCGCGGCTGCGGAATCGGACTGGCCTGGTGGTCGTCGAGCATCGCCGCCGGAGAAGCTGATTGTGACGAAGATGGCATCGTTGGGAGAAAGAGAGGCAGGGCTGGCTGTGAACCACCTGCCTGAACCGTCGGAGTCGCGAGTCGAGCCACGAGAGAGGAGACGGCCGCCGGCTCCAGCCGTGGCGGCATCGAGCAGAAAGACGGCGCCAAGGATAACCGTCTTGGCTCCGGGATTGATCTCCAACCGCTGGGTGGAAGGCTCGCCGCCAACGAAAGAGGCGATGAAGAGCTCGACGCCGGGGGTGGAGTCGGAGAAGAAGCCCGAGGTTCGGACCGTTGCGGGTTTGCAAGCGATGTCGGAGTCGGGTCAGCGGAATGGCGTGTGGAGGTCGGAGACAAGAATCGTGGAGGGCTCGACGCCGGAGAATGAGAGGAAGAAGAAGTCGATCGATGCGGAGGCGGATGAGCAGAAGGATTTGACGGTGGCTCTCCTCGTCTCGTCGTCCAGCAAGGAGGGGAGTCGGAGGACGGAGCAAGAAGTGCGGCAGCAGCCTCACCGTCGGGGTGCTTGCGCGTCGCCGGGGACAGGGTGGCCGCCGGGATCGGAAATATCGGAGAAGAATACGAGGGAGGGCGGCGTCCCTCTTCCCCTCGTCAACCCTAGGCCACTAGTGAGGTTGGCTGGGTTTGCCTTGGACCAGCAAGGCGGGCCGGAGTCCGCGGGCCGAGCGGATCTGCAAGAGGGGTTGTTGTTGGGCCGATTTGAGGCTCAGGTCGTTGGGCTCAATGAGTCAGCTAATGGGCCGAAGCCAGGAGGAGTTTGGGCTGAGACAAGGTTTGATGGTGAGTTGAAGGAGAAGGAAGTCAGCTGGTTGCAAGGTTATTGTGGGCTAGGTTTCATGAGAGTGCTTGGGCCCTCATTGGGCCGTTGGATTTGCTCTCTATTGTATGGAGAGAGCTTGGAAGAAAAGAAAGATGAAGATGAATTGGGCTTAGCCAGTGGATTTTTCATGGAGTCAGGTCCAAACGGAAATAAGGAAGAGAAGAACGATGGATTCACGGGCTTTGATGCAGGGCTTAAGGAAGAGCAGCTCTTTGATTTTTATATTTGGAGTTTGAAAAGGATGATGGAGGGATATTTGATCATGGTTGCAACTTGCGCCACGTGGATTGGGAAGAGGCCATTGGAGTCGGAGTCACTGGTGAGGGATTCGTTCAAGTAGTGGAGCACGATTGGAAGAAAAGAAAGCGCAAGAATGGAGGAAGCAAGATGTGGATTGCACGGTAGACTGAAGAAATGGGTCAAGCTGATCAACCTTGAGGGCAAGGTTGGTCTCAAGGGGGATGGGATGTTAGAAACACGTTTTCTAAGGAAAACGAGTTTCTATATTATCATTATTATTAGGTTTTATTAAATATGGTTAGTAGTCATTAAATAGAATTAGGTTTATTATTAGGGTTTTCTAGCATTCCCTATAAATATGTATCTTACTTATTCATTCGGTATCAATAAGAAGAATAATAAGCAAATCCCTAAACCTTGTTCTCTCCCAAATCCTCTCAACTTCTCTTCTCTCCCTAATCCGGCCGCCGGCCATTCTCCCCAATTCTTCTCCTAATCCCTAATTTCTATTCTCAAATCCCTAAATCCCCAATTCTATTCTATAAACCCTAGAATCTCAATCTCTCGATCTGATCTAGAAACCCGTTAGAAACTTTGTTTCTAACACAACCCCCTTTTACTTTGACTCTTCCCCTCCAGATCGAGTAAGCCCTCAAAGTAGGGTACTCGAACATAGTTCCAGACTTGGCCAAAATTGGGCAGTTTCTCGATAGCTTCATAGCATCTTCAACAAGTTCGTTAATGGCCTTAGGAGATTGTTCTTGTGCAAACCAACCTTCAGAGATGTAGTTTAACACTTTCTCTTCAATTTCTAACCTTCCTTTTGCATTTTCACATAACCATTTGGGAGATATGAATCCCCAAAATAGGCACCCTGAAACATGTTTGACACTTAACCAAATTATATCTCTCTTCTTGCCAACTTAGATTGCTTCTTAGGCAATCAATAGAAACTTGTATAGTTGGCTACTTGGGATCATATCAGGCCCCTCCCTCTTCAAAAAGTTTTGACCTCAAAACTTGAAGTCTCCTGTGTTCAAAATCCTCACTGAACGACTCCCAAACTAGATCAAAAGCAGCATACTTGCACTTCCCTTTCGTCAGATTTGGGAGTTTATTTTTGGAGAATCCCCAACCTAATTCGTTGTTCCCGTGCACTTCGCCAGACTCCCAATTGAAGTTCTGAACCATTCGCCAGTCTTGACTCACCTCCTTCTTTGTCGAATCTACCAATCTTCCTTTTCTGCCATCGTCGGAATTTAAAATTTTGTTACTTCGAATTTCCAATTCGATTTTGGGCTTTTCTAATTGAGGCATTATTGAGCTGAATTGAGTGTTCCTACAGCTTCCTGATAACTTCCTTGATGATTTTGCATCAGCCGATTGGATTGAATCGACCTCGATCTCTCCAACCAATTCGGTAAATTTTTTTTTCTGTTTGATTGTTTCCAGGGGAGTTTTGGCTCAAATTGGATTCGACAACTAGACTTGATTTGGATCAATCCAATCCAGCGAAATCATTCCTGGGACTTCCTCGAATGTGTTGGCTCACTTGGTTTGTCTCGAATCATTCCCCAGGCCTCCACCCAATTCACTCTCTCTCCTATTCTGCTCTAGTGAGGGAACACAAAGTTGTACAGCTTGGTGACGATAGTGTTCTTTCTTCTTCTTGTACGCAGTTAACATGAATCGTCGGGTTACAAAATTAGATTCCTTAGGTTCCTCTGAGTGTATCCCACTGGATTCACCCTTTTGCCACCGTCGATTTGCCTCTAATTGTCGTTGATCAGCTGGAACTTCCGCCAGCGACAACTGTTTGAGCAAGAAGTTCTAGTTTCTATGCTTGAATTTGTAGCAATTCGTGCCTCCATAATGGCAAACCCCTCGATCAAACTGCCAGGGACGTCCAAACAATAGATGGACGGCTTGCATTGGTGCAACATCAGACAGATCTATTAAGTTTAGGTACTAAACTGTAATTTGTAAATGAGTTGGGTAAAAATTCAAATCATAGCTTAAAAACCTAACCTAACCTAACCCAATCCAAATAAATGGGTATGGGTACAAACTCATCAAACTCTACCAATTTACCATATATTTGGATTTCATACTCAACCCAATTAGGTTAGATAGTAAAATATTCATGGATATGAGCAAAATTGTCATCCCTAGTCACGGGTATACTAGTGAGGATTTGGCCATGTCTATGAAGGAACATAGGGTCTCCAGACTAATGCATGTGCAAGTCATGGTTGTGAAACTGATGGTATTTCGGCTGTTACAATCGAGTTCAACTGATATTAGATAAAGTTGGTTGGAAGATCGCTAGTATGAAATGGAAGTCAAAACTGGTAAAAAGAGTTTGAAATCGAGAAATGTGTGATACGACCAAAATGATCTTTTCCCCCCCTAAACAAAGTGACATCGTTTTGGTGGAGTTAACTACAAAAAGAAAGGAATTTGTCGAATTTAAATGTGAATATTTAGATGTCGATGTTATTTATTAAGTTCAAGTATGGATTTAAATGTGAACATTTAGATGTTGATGTTATTTATTGAGTTCAAGTATAAACGTAAGGATATTGAATTATATAAATGCACAATTAATTTGGTCAATTGCTTAACACTTTCTCTTTTGTTTTGTTAAAACCATTATAAATCAATTATACCCAATCGAACCATATCACTTGTCAAATAGACATAACATAGGTTTCCTTGAAGCTAATGCCTAATGGTCCTCGGTTCATGGCGTGAGGGTTGTCACTTATGCAGGAGGAAATGACATAAACTAGAGTCTGAAACTGATACATCATGAAAACCCAAAGGAAGAGAATGCCCCAGACCGGCCAGATAGTCTGCGCATTTGTTACCCTCTCTATAGATACGAGAGATAGAGACACTCTAATCTCTAGCAAGAAGATCATGGAAGCGATCAATAATAGTTGCCTGATGATGGTCTGACGCCTCACTGCTCTGTAGAAGCTGGACCGCGCACCAGGATTCGAGCTCAATACGAGCAATTCAGATTCTTTTACACCATGATCCAAACAAATTTCATTTCATTTCGATTTTCTCGGTGTATTGCACGATTTGGAGAGATCTTTACCTCATCGAAGTCGCTATTTATGATTATCGTTTGGTACCAAATGAATCAAGAATTTTTTTTTATGGTAATATGAATTACCATGTAGAATTCATTGTCAAATGAAATCTTGTGTTTCGTATATCATATTCAAATATTAGAAATAAAATGCGTTGTTGTGTAGAATTTATCTTCAAATAAATTATTGTGTTTAGTATATAATATGTATAAATAATTTAGTTAATAAAAAAGGATAATTATATCATTCTATTATAATTATTAAATATATGTGAAATTCATTTGAAAATTCCATCTAAATTTCTCAAAATTGCTATGACTAGTTGTAATTACGTCGAATTCAAAATATAAAATTGGAAATAAATTTTTTTAAATACTAAACAAATATTTTATTTCAAAATGCAATTATGAAAACTTATGGAATTCATTTAGAAAAAAAAAAATATAAAGGTATGTTAATTCTATTTGTGAAATGGAATCTCTTTTATGTCTCCGCCATTAACGAACTGCGAATATGCGGAGAAGGGGAGTGAAGACTGAAGACTGAAGCCTCCGCCGCCGTAACCGCCCCGCCGGCCCGACTATAGTGTTGTTTATTACTGCTGATCGGCGGAGCAAAACCGCCCCCGAACCGAGCCAGCGAGTCCAAACAGTTTCTTCTCCGAGTCTTCTCTCTCTCTCTCTCTGTCATCATTCCTTTCCTTAAATTACTGCCATCCCAATTTAGCAGATCTCTCTCTTCTCTCTGCCGCCTACTTCAACTGCATCAATGGATCTCTCAATTGCGCTGACGTTCCCCTCCATTACCACCAAACCTTCCCCTTCTCACCTTCTTCTTTCCCGCCCTCTCTTCCCCAGCTCTTCGCCCGGAAGATCCTTGCTCTTCACTCGAAACCCCTCTTCTTCCCGCCACAACCACCTAGAAGTGAAAGACACATTCGTAGGAAGAAATAAATCGGAAAAACAATCAACAGTAGCACATAAGATAGTACTAATCATAACAACAACACAAAGCTCGCTATGCACGAAAGGAGAAATTTTTTTTTGCAGTGGATAACCTGCTTACCGATATCGATGATCTATCATCTTTACCATCTATAATAAGAATCACCCCAGGTAATCATCTCTGCAATCCAACAAAAAATAAGAATACAAATGAGTAGTGTGGAGGAGAGAATGAACCTACGCACAACAACAATCTACCATCATCAGTATTCTATCATCCCAAAACTCGAGTTAAAAATGAGAGAGGGTAGAAGCAGAACCTATGTAAGACGTTGGAGTGAATGCTGTGTAACCATAGCCATAGAAATCATCTGGAAAGTCATCTAGGACTTCAGCCTTGGATAAGATTACACAGTCATAGGGGGGGCTTGAGCCACCAGTAGCACTGCTGCAGTCACCATTGTCGATCAATTTGAACTTGCAAGCCTTGAAGAAATCAGCTTCTGGGTCACCACGAGATCTATACCACACAAACATGCAATACACGCCAGAGTTCGCATCATCATCCTCGTCGTATCCAAAAGGAACAACCACAGCATTCTCGAAGAACTTGTCGTTTTGTGCTGTACCAACAAGCTCGGATACAGTATCCAGCTCCTGTTGCATGCCCATGAGGTTCTTCACAACAAGGCTAGGATTAAGGGCGGGTTTCACAACAAAATATTTACCACCATGGACAACCCTTGAGCAGAGCGAATTACGAAAGATACTCTCCCTGTACATCGCCCACTTTAAGGGTGAATCATGAAAGTAGGGGTGCCACAGTAGCTTGTCCATGTCAAGACCATACAAAACGTTTTCACCACAATAATTCCACACAAGGACATACAATACATTCCCTGAAACAACATGACCTGAGAAAGCAGGGCGGAAAGGCTCACCATCCTCGTCTTTCCAGGTCCAAAAAGGGGTTTCAACTGTCACAACACTGAGATCTTTGAGATTCAAAACCTCGCAAGGAGCAGGACACTGAGCCTCTCCGTCACCACGACAATAAGTCCGCTCCAGCATGATAATCTTCTCTTTGTAGGCCACATTAATGCACAGCTGCTTCGGCCCCTTCAGCTTGTTTGGGTGTACTTCAAATACGAGCGATTTAAAGTTTTCGGGATTCATTGTAAGATCACACACATATAAATCTCGCGGATACTCACGAACACCACCTGTAGATGGGCGCCTACCAGCTTCACCACCAAAAGCATATAGCTTCGTTCCTACCACTGCATAACCCATAGAACAAGGGAATTTTTCCCCCTCGTAAAAGGAACTGCTACCAGCTGTCACGTTGACGGTGGTTGTGCGGATCTTCCCGGACCTGTCAGGCGTACCCATCAGAACCACACGCAGCTCCTTTCCGGAAGTACCAACGATTCCGAATTCCCACCACCGCCGCCGCGGCTTCTTACCCTCCGGTGAGCTGCTCGAATCATCGGACATCCTAATGAACCCAAACCAACCAATCGGCCAAGGAGGAGGAGGTTACACTTGTCTGCGCTTTCCCCGTCTTGCCGGCTTGTCACCGATTGATGAGACAAATAGAGGAATCGTTGGCCGTCGTCTGGCTGATGTAAAAAGGAGAGGGAATGGTGGCAGGGGTGAGGAAGTCGCTCGATTAGGGTTTTGCCAATGCCTAATTGCCCGGGCCTCTTAAATTTTTAGTACCAGGATGTCTATTGCCTGATCAACAAATGGACCCCTGAATTATTAGGATTTCCCAATTAGGCCCCCAAACAAAACCCTTTTATTATTATTATTATTATTAAAATTATTATCCTATAGTGGAAAACAGAATATTATTATTATTATTATTATTATTATTATTATTATTATTATTATTATTATGCCGAAACTAAAGAGTTTTACATAGACACATAACTTGCAATAAAAGGCATTACAATCCTGAACTACAAAGGTCGACCTTGTTTTCAAGGTCAACGTCTGGGAAACATTTTATCTGCACAAGTTATAGTTACAGAGTGCAAAAATGTTATATTTTGTTTAGATGTATATTTTGTTGTGCCTGTAAATGTGGATTCCCTAAATAAGTGCATGTTGTGTCTATCTATCAAGCTGCGACTTTGTCCGTCTTCCTGCTTCAAAGTTAAGACTTTCATTTTATAGTTGTTCATAGCTATATTAATCTCCTATTTGTGTGGTGTGTTTGCATATCAAATTCAGTGAGTTTGTTGCGAGACAGGTCAGGTAGAGAGAAGGTATCATACTAGAAGCTAATACGTCGAGGCATGTGAGGTAATTGGACATCTAGAGTAAAGAAATATATCGGTGTTTTGTTTGAAAGAAAAGTCTATTTATCAAGAGAACAAAATACGTGGTGTTCAGCGGCAGATCCAGAACACTGAAGAGCACTGGGCCGCATTTCACTAGAAAATTAGAACCGTAAAAAATAAAATGATTATAGTTTTTTGCAATGTAAATTGTACACGACTGTATTTTAATTTAGGGAATGCATCAATAATGAAGTCTACATCCATACCAATAGTATACAATGTTTCAAATAAAATACTTGAGCAATCGGCGAGAAATTCATCGCTCATTTTGTTGAGCAAATCAGTTCTCACATGTTTCATTGTTAAAAAGGTTCTCTTCGTAGTAGTTGCTGAAACGAGCAGTATCAACACTAGATAAATCAATCGACTAATGAATTTGCATTGTGTGTCCATCCTTGCACACCAGCTGCTTTAGTAAATTTGTAAGGGAACAAACCTCATATTTCTTTTAGTCTTTTACGTTTTAAACTTTATAGAATTTTAGGTTTCATTGTTTTTTTAAGACGCATAATCTTTGGGCTCAAATTTCTAGGCTAAATTTAGAATAGTGATTTGAATATGTTCAACTTGATAATTTTTCTAGTTAAACCCAATCTTATCATAGAATAACACTGGATCGGATGACTAAAATCAAAAATTTCATAAGGACTATAGTAACTACGGATCTAGAGGAGGGCTGGGCCGGGGCCTGGGGTGGCCACCCCCTGGATCCGCCAGTGGTGGTGTTTTGTTTGAAAGAAAAGTCTATTTTCCAAGTTGACAGGACAACCACATGAACCAAGATCTAGCTAACAATTCTCGGAACATATGTTAAATCCTCATGAGCAGAACCGGAAAAGAAAAACAAAACCCTCTCACAATTACTCTTCTAAGTTCTGCAGAAAACTAACAAAAACCTTGATGCACTCTAGACTAAGATGTATCTCTACTGAGTAGACTGGATCACGAAATGGTGATATTGTGCTTGTCAAGAGGTGCAATCTCATCTCCATCGAATCCCGGCTGAGTATCCCCAACAACGTCGAGGCTCCTCAATAGTTCTTCCCATTTCTTTGTTGGCCCCTGCATCCCATCTTTCATGTCACCTTCCCTCGACATATTATAACGATTATTCAGTAAAATCAGTTGGATGTTTAATGCATTACCTTCCACGAGAGATCTTGAGCCATGCAGTCCTGGATCATTTCAGACAGTGTAGGAGTCCCATAGGTTGCAACTGCCTTCCCGACTCCTCTAGCCACCGCCGCTCACATACATTGCAATGGCGGAGCCAGCTCATAACAAGGTGGGTCCCAAGACCACATTGGCTCAAGATTATAGTGTTTGTAAAATCGTATTGTATAGGTGATTCGATCGAGAAAACCTTGTATTAGATTTTAAATCGTAGACGGTTTTTTAGTAGTATGAAACGCTTGAATCACGATTAAACCATGGTTTCAACATAAATATCATACTATTGACTTTTTTAGTTCAACCACTACTACAGATTTACTATCCTTGCTAAATTATTACACTGATAACAATATTTTGTACACAATCAATAACTCTGAAATCTATCACCTCATGTTTACTGGTTTTACTTATCTACAAATAAATTGTAGAAAACTTTGTGGTACACATGAACCTTGCATATTATATAAATAACTCTTGACTTTATATAAAACTGTGTCCCTAATTATGTATTATAAATTTACTAATTTCTAATTTAGTATCGAATTTCCACCTTCCAACGAAAATGTGTCGAAATACTATAAAACGCATTATAGGTCATTTCATTCATTTTATATAATTTTATTTTTATGTCGGACCCACCTTAAGTGAAATCCTGGCTACGCCACTGATCCATTGGATCAACTTCATCGCACTGCAGGAACATTTTCGTACATTCCCTATGTTTGGCCCGACATTTAGAAGGGCTTTTCGGCTTTAAAAGCTGAAGCAGGGCCAAACACCTGTAAAAGCTTGGCTGCTTCATTGTTTCCCTGGCTCCCTTTAGACTTCTGAACTGGATTCCTCTTCTCACATCCGCACTTGCCAAAAGTTTTGCAGTGACCACATACAGGAGGTAGATGACTATATGCCACCCCCACTCTGATTGAACGCTCATCCGTAGGCCAGACCAGGACGTGATCAGGGAAAGAAGCTGATGCTTTTAACTCTATCAGAGCCTTTGCACAGCCAAGCCTACCCCCCAATCTCGTGGTATGATCCACTCCCAAAGGAATGCCAAGGAAGCTCCCCAACCTACTCATACCCTGAAAATTGACATACTCCAAAGGAACATTAGTGAACCTCACCCATATAGGCAGAGCCTTGTTCCCCAAATCTTCCACATCTATCCCCGGGGTCCAAGGTCGAAGATATAACATGTTATCCGTATGAAACCAAGGCCCGCTCTCCAAGATCCAATCATAGGTTTCCTGAGAAGGCAATTGAATGAGAAGAAGCTGATTACCCAGTAGGGAAATCCGAACAGCACCGTCGCGCCCCCATAGCTTGTTTGCCCATCTCCGGAGCTCCAGGAGAGAAGACGAAGATGGATGAAGGAACTGCCCAACCAGACTGTGTCGCCATCGAGCCGCACCTTCATCACTTACCACCTTGGGAATTCGAATTCCCCCCTTGAAGTGCTCCGGCGGAATATATTCCAGACGATTCTCCTCGGCGATACCAAACAGCTCCGCCCAAGGCTTAGCGAGAACCCCCTCCTCACCTACAACCCTCGCTTCGGACGCCATCACTCACAAGAACCTCGAAGTACAAAGAAGCGTACCGACGCAGATGCCGGCACGGCCAGCCAGGCCCACGACGGAAACCTAACTCGCCAAGAAAACGGGAGGATTATCTCTCACTACTCTCTCACTTAATCTCTCTGAAAATTCTATTCAACCATTGCATTTCGGGTAATTTTTTTTAAAATCACAATAATTATCGAAAAAACCCCATAATTTGCTAGGCATATACATCGACGTCGGTATTTAGGACTTCACCGTTAATTTTTTTAAGCGAGATGAACTTTTATGTCTCGAACTGCGAAATGTGCGGAGAAGTGGGGAACGAAGGCTCCGCCGCCGTAACCGCCCCGCCGGCCCGACTATAGTGTTGTTTACTGCTTCTACTGATCGGCGGAGCAAAACCGCCCCCAAAGCGAGTCCGCGAGTCCAAACAGTTTCTTCTCCGAAACTTCTCTCTCTGTCATCATTCCTTTACTTAAAATTCTGCTTCCCTTCCCATTCCGCGCTGACCATCTTTCTTCTCCCATCGCCATTCCAATTTTGAAGCAGATCTCTCTCTCGTCTCTTCTGCCGACTACCTCAACTGCATCAATGGATCTCTCAATTGCGTTGCCATTCCCCTCCATTACCACCAAACCCTTCCCTTCCCATCTTCTTCTTTCCCGCCCTCTCTTCCCCAGTTCTTCGCCCGGAAGATCCTTGCTCTCTACACGAAACCCCTCTTCTTCCCGCCACAATCACCGCACTCCTCGACAACGACTCCGCCGCCGTGTTTCCGCAGCCGTCGACGACGACGATGGCGGCTTCGTCCTCGAAGATGTCCCTCACCTGTCCGATTTCCTCCCCAATCTCCCCGTATTGATTCTCCTCCCTCTTCTCTTCCCGTCCTCCTAATCGTATAGTTGGTTCAAGATAGTGATCTCTGGTTCCCCGTTTCCTTGCTTCTTCAGCTGTATCCCAATCCCTTGGAGAAGAGCCAAGCTTATGCCATTGTCAAGTATGTAGTCTCTCTACTTTTGCTTTCTCATTTTCACAGCCTGAGCTTCTTTGTTTGTGCTCAATGTTTACTTCCCGTAGGCAAACCTTCGTCGGCCAGGAAGATGCGGTGGCGCAGCAGGTATGCTATCTTGTACATTTCATTCCCGCGTCTCAGCCTAAAATGTGTTAGTTACCGTCTTTTTGGTGCTCCCAGGTCGTTGTTCATAAAGGCAGCCCCCGAGGAGTACACTTCCGGCGAGCCGGCCCTCGAGAAAAGGTTCTTATCCTACTCGAGCTTTATCTTTTCCCACTTTTTTTTCCCCCCCGGCGACGATGAATGAACAAGAAATCAAGAGAATGATCAATTGAGTATTTCTTAGGTGTACTTTAAGCCTGATGAGGTTCGGGCTTGCGTAGTCACATGTGGAGGGTTGTGCCCAGGGATCAATACAGTCATCCGGGAGATAGTTTGTGGGTTGAACTACATGTATGGTGTGGATGACATTCTTGGTATCGTGGTGAGTGAGCTCTTTTGAGTATCAGAGTTTCCCTCTTGTTTCTTTCCTTTTCTCTGGGAAAGTTTGATTGGTGTGATTTGCAGGGAGGGTATAGAGGCTTCTACTCTAAGAACACTGTGAAGCTGACCCCTAAAGTTGTGAACGATATCCATAAACGTGGCGGCACTACCCTTTTGACATCTAGAGGAGGTCATGATACGGTTAAGATAGTTGACAGCATTCAGGACAGGGGAATTAATCAGGTCAGTGTGTTGATCTTTTCTGTATGATAAAGCACACTCACACACACACAACGGGCACGAGAATACTAGGCCAGGAAGTAGAAAGAGTGGCGAGTTTAAAGTTTTGACATTTCATTGATCTTAGGTGTACATAATTGGAGGTGATGGGACCCAGAAAGGAGCAGCTCTAATTCATGAGGTTGTTGTACACTCTTTAAAGGGTTTCGTTTGTTTGTTAGCATGGTGAAGTTTTGCAGTTTTGACAGTGTGCCACACTTTCCATTTCCTTGTGCTGACTTGCCTTTGTGATGGTGCTAAAGGAAGTTGAGAAACGTGGTATGAAAGTAGCAGTTGCTGGGATTCCCAAGACCATTGACAATGACATAGCTGTAAGTTCTGTAAACCTGCGTTTGGATTTAATTATACTTAAAAGCCAATTTCATATGGTTGGTGCTATACTTCCCTGGTCATATTAATCTTCCTGGGATACATATCCATGCCAGTAGATGAATACAAAATGTGTAAAAGTGGATCAGGTGAAAGAATTATTACAATGGATCGAGTTTGAGCAGAATTTTGACTCTGAGGACCGTTAGAATGTTTGTGTTAGAACCTCGGCACACTGTTACAATAACCGAAACTGTGTTCTTGGAAGTAGAATGAGCACTGGAAGGATGATGATTCTGTCTGTTTAATTGTCTGCCTCTTGTCCCAAAATATTTTTAAACTACTTTGAGAAATTGGAATGTAATGGCTAATTATATTTTCTGAACATAGTATCAAAGTATTTAGGCGGGTTCCATTTTTGTATGATTGTGACAGCCATGAACGTCTAAATCTTGGCTCTCTGGGGAAAGACTTAATATGTCTTTCACTTATACTAATGAATGTCAAGTTTGAGTAATAGTTGAAGAGTGATGAAATTGAGTGTTTTGCATTTACGTTGCTTGGAGACAGATGAATCTTAGATATTTTTGTTCTTTGCTTTGAAGAGGAACCTGTTAGACATTGTCAAGCAATGACTTCCAACAAGAATATGATGTTTTTCAATTCTCATTTTAGGTGATAGACAAATCGTTTGGTTTTGATACTGCTGTTGAAGAAGCTCAGAGAGCAATTAATGCTGCACATGTAGAGGTTGAGTGTGTGGAAAACGGAGTTGGAGTAGTCAAGCTGATGGGAAGATATAGTGGTGAGTTCTCAACATTTGACTATAGGCTTTTTAAACTGTAATATCATCACACAAGTCTGTCTAATGTTTTCCCCCGTTTCTTTCCTTTGCACTTTTGTTGTTCATTTATGCAGGATTCATTGCTATGCATGCAACTTTGGCCAGTCGAGATGTGGTGAGAACTTAGTTTCTTTCTGTTTGATTCTAATTTATGGTCTTATAAAGTTCTGCGTATAACTTCAGTGTCTGATTTTAAATTTTTGTGTATATATCATCACGAAGCAAATGTGTTGCCAAAGGGAGCGGAGCCTGACCCTATGCCTGTTCCTGGTGTTTGGTGAATGCTCCAGGATTGTTGCTTGATTCCAGAATCTCCATTTTATCTGGAAGGTCAAGGCGGGCTGTTCCAATTCATTGAAAGCCGGATGAAAGAAAATGGGCATGTGGTTATTGTGATAGCTGAAGGAGCAGGGCAGGAATTTGTTGCTCAGAGCATCCATGACGTCAATCAGAAAGATGCATCAGGAAACAGGCTACTTCTTGATGTTGGTCTCTGGTTGTCTCATAAGATTAAGGTTTGGAGCACAAGCTTTATCTCCTCTATTACAATTGGTCTTTCTTAATATTTTTGGTTTCCTCAACTGTTCGATTTTGGTTGGCATGCGTTGCCTTATTATCGTAAAGACTTGTAATAATCTTATGGCAGGATCACTTCACACAAGTTCGGGAGATGGATGTAAATATGAAATACATAGGTATGCTTCGATTTCAATGGATTATTGTTTGTTGCACATGAATACTTACCCACTCTTGATATTGTTTTGTGAACTTCTGATATATGGTAGCAAGTTATGCAAATCTCAATTCTTGAAACACCCTTGCTAATATATTTTGGAAGGATAATCTCACACTTCTCCCATAATCACTCTATCGGCCATTGGCCAATGGTAGATAAGCTACATACAGTGCATGCTGAAACATTGTTGGGTAGTTACGATATGCTGAGCTTTTCTTTCCCTGTCTCCGTTAAGCTTTTTCACCTTGTTTTTGTCCTGTCGTGCAAAGAGAGAAGAGCTTTATCCCATTTATCTACCTTGTGATGATTTAGATCCAACATACATGATACGGGCTATTCCAAGTAACGCATCAGACAACATATATTGCACTCTTCTTGCACAAAGTGCCGTACATGGGGCGATGGCTGGGTACACAGGCTTCACAGTTGGACCAGTTAATGGCAAACACGCCTACATACCCATTGCTGTAAGTAACTCCCTCTCGTGCGCTTTTGCTGCCTTGATTCCTCCCTATGCAAAGAAAATCTTAGACTATGACATGGGAGACTGTTTCGCTGCTGTTAATAAAAGTCTGTTGAGATAAATGTTGTGATAATCAGTACTGAGTGTGTGATTATGGTGGATGGATTGCAGCGGGTGACAGAGACGCAGAACACAGTGAGGTTGACTGACAGGATGTGGGCTAGGCTCCTTTCCTCAACAAACCAGCCAAGTTTCTTGAATTCCTGTGATGATATTTTGTTGCAACAAGAAAGAGTCGACAGAGACATGGTCGACATGATTCACAAAATGAAGATTACTTCCACCTAGTCACCACCATTCAATTGCTGGCTCTAAAGCTAAACACGGAGAAGCGCATCGGGCGTGGGCATGTATCAGCAGCATAACAAACTCAAGCCATCTTCCATGATGTCGGAGGAAGGTACAATGTGTTTGCATGCTGAGTTGACAATCATTTTGTTGTAGGTGTAGGATGAAAGACTGTTGTGCTTGGTTGAGTTGAAGTGTAAACAAGAGTATAGATAGGGGGCGAAACAATAATGAAGAAAACAGAGTAGCAACTTGCTTTCAACTTTGCAGATAATACCAAATGATAGGCTTTTTGTCTGCCTGTCTGTTCCATCCATCATTCCATCCACAAGTGGCAGTGGGTTCTTCCTTCCTAGTAGTTATCTGGCACACCATGCACGTTGGCTGCGGGCAAGTTGCAGACGTAGGCATTGGTTATCTTTCTATCATCAATCTGTCCACTGTAATTGCCACTTGCTGCTTTCTGTTGCTAGCTTAGGTAGAACTTGAGAGCAGTCCGTCGGTTTCATTACAAGTTGGGTCGGGTAGGATAGCTCCTCGAGAGCGCCATGGCTTTAGGGATGGATAGTATTTTTGCAGTTGCTGCTGGGAGTTCATCCGGATCTGCGATTCCTGGAACTACAAGCAAGCAAGCAAGTGGGCTTTGATTGCATTGGCAAGTTGATGGATTGGATGGATTGACTCCGACGGTGACGCTGACTCTGACTCTTGCTCGTTCAAATATCTCCCTTCCGTTATAAATGTGATGTGCTGTACTGTACATGGATTGATCTGATCGACTTTGTAGGAATAATTTATTTTAACTAACTCGTGCTCAATTCAATTCATTTGAAGCCATGTGTAGGAATAGTTAAAAATCAAGCTAGCTTTGTACAAGTGTATGATCTTATTTTATTTGTCTTCGATTAGTATAGTGGATATAGCAAAAGCTAATTCGTTCCCTGTGATTGGGTTGCAAATGAACTGAACATAATAGTTGAGTTTTCAACTAACTTGAGCTCTACTAGTTAGTAAACAAGTCAAACTCGTCAAACTCGAGCTCGGCTTGTTTACGAAAATATAGGGTTGCAAATGAACTTATTGACCATTATTGATATTAATTTTTCTAGTGACTAAACATGATACAGTTTAATAAACCCAATGACCAAACATGTCATTAGCTCGATATATAGAGTTTGTGCTTATTTGTACTATAAGTAAATAAATAAATAAATAGACTCCCTCCCTTCTAGTACTATCAATAATAGAGAGCATATTATACCTATAATCATTATCTTAATCTACTCCTGCTACCTATATCTCTAAGTGGGCCCTGGCTGCTGGACCCTTATCACGGCGGGATGATAAAAGGGTTTACTCTAAAATCACAGGCCCAAGCCCAGGGCCCACATCTAGGTCGCCTTCCCACTCCGTTTTCTTCATCTTCATCCTCCTCCGTCGCCGGGCAGTGCAGGCCGGCGCGTCAGACTTCCCCGCTTCCAACGGGAAATTCAGGATTGCTTTCCTGCCCCTCATCCGAAAAGCGGCGAAGTCGTACGCCTTCGCGGCATCCACGTCGCTGTCGAAAGTCCCCAGCCACACCCGGCTGCCCTTCTGGGTCGGGTCGCGGATCTCCGCCGCGAATTTCCCCCACGGCCTCTTCCTCACGCCCCTGAAATTATTATCCCTCCCGCTTTCTTCCACCTGCCTCCCCTGAGACGACGACCCACTGCTGGAACCCGAAGCGGCAGACTTGGGCGAGTCCAGGTCCGGGTCGGATTCAGGGGAATTGGAGTCGGAGCCCCGAACAGGGGATCCGGATTCTTGTTCGAGTTTTACGGGCAGGGGAAGCAGCAAATCGTGGGAGGCGGAGGATATCTTGGAGTTCAGATTGGTGATGAAGATGTCGGTGTCAGTGGAGGAGAAATTGTCTTCCAGCAGCAGGTGCTGCCGAATGAGCTCCAGAGCTTCTTTGTATTCCTCTGGCGTTGCCATTGTTGTTAGACTACCGATCGAGGCAGAGAGAAACAGAGGAAAAAAAAAGGATGGGTTAATGGGTAGTGAGTGATTTCAGCTCAAACTATTTAAAGGGGAGGAGGAATGCAGTGAAGCAATCCAATCAATATGGTTTCCATCAGAAGAGTAAGAAGAAAAAGGATGAAATTTGAATACATAGCACAGTTGGAAGTAAGGTCAGAGTGGGGACTCTTGTCGTCGGTGAAGGATATTTATTTCAGTGTGTCCACGGTGGTTTTCTTTTTATTTCGTACTGCCTTATGTTTCTCCAATTGGGCGAATTTTGGATCCTGACATGGTCGTGGGCAAGATCGTGCTCCAAACCGTGTTGAGCTCAACATTCCAACTCCAAGTCATTTTAAGTGAACTTCCACTTACTTGTCCATAACTCTAACATTTTACTCCTGATTTAATTTCTTGTCTAAATATCATCCAACTCAATCTCAAATGACTTGAAAGCACGCTTCAACGCCATATCGAATATAAAATTGATAGAAACATAGAAAGGTTTCTAAAACCACAAAACAATAGGCATTCATTCAAAAGGAAGTGAAACATTTGCAAAACACAAGCTATCATTGAGGTAGAGTTTGAGACGAGAACGCGAATGTTTATAGGATAAAGCATAAAACGATTATAACAGCCAACCCAAAATACTTACTCTGGTAAGAGCCAAACCAGAGCACTAATGGTTTTGAGTGAACCATCAAACCGCATACAAACTCTATAAAGGCATGCAACCGCTACATGCAATACACCTTATTAGGGTCTTTCACACTGCTGACTGGATCGTCACCTTCAAGACGAGCCTCAAAATATCTTTACTGTCGTAGAATCATCCTCGTGTGAGGTAAGTAACCAAACCCTTAAAGTGTTTCTCTCCTAGTCTCCTTAATCCAAGTTCTTTATTGTTGATAAATGAGATAACATAGTCATCTCGACATAATTATTTCTTTCGTGATGTGATAAATAGTTATTAGTGTAGGTGAAATGAGGATTATGAAATCAAAATTTAGTCAGGGTATCCAATTGAGGAGGGAACAAAATTTAAATATGTAAACAGAAGACATGTGTAGTCTAATCCATATAATATATTAAATAATAAAAGAGGGGTAAATTGAACTCATGAATCAAATAAAGGAACAAATACAACCTGAAAGCATCGATCTTACTCCTAATTATTTTTCTTCTTGTTTTGATTGTTTTATAGTTTTTTTTTGTGTTTTATTTATGTACATATCAAGCAACATCATCCCACCAAAGCTCTATACGTGTCTGTTTCGAGGCCGGCACCGGATGATTCGACGGTCTTCCCCTAAACTTATAGCCCAATTGGTTTTGGGCCGAAAGCCCGAAACTAATTTTTCCCATCGCCAGGCCTCACACCGCCATCAGCCGTGAAAACGTATAGGGAGATAACGGCGACAACGGCGGGACGCTGAATATCCCCTTGACTTCCCCGTCCCAGATCTCCTTCCAGCTCGACGGCGTCAACGGCACCGGTTCCCCCAAACCCTGCGCCGCCGCCGGAGAAGACTGGTTCTCCGCCTTTACCGCCTTCAAACTCCCCTCACCACCACCACCCTCGATTTCCCCAATCTTCCTCTTCCTAATCCCGCTCAATTCCCCCGAATCGGGGGGAATCGGACCGGCCGGCGAGTCCGAATTCCTGCCGGCGTCGAGCGGGAAATTGAGGATCGCCCTGCTGCCGCGGAGGCGGAAGGCGGCGCTGTCGTACGCCTTGGCGGCCTCGACGGCGGAATCAAACGTCCCCAGCCAGACCCTGACCCCCTTTTTGGTGGGATCTCGAATCTCCGCCGCGTACTTCCCCCAGGGCCTCCGGCGAACCCCTCTGTAGTGCTTCTCGTCGCCGTCGACAGAGGAAGAAGAATTGGCGACACCCAATTCAAGCTGAGATGGTGGTTTGGAGATGGTGGTGGTTGGGATGGTGATTTTGGACATGGGTGGCTTCCTCTTGCTCAAAGTACTCCCGCTGCCGCCGCTGGAAGACGGAGAATGAGAAAAGGTCTCTGTTTTGACAGTGGTGTTGAAGGGGGTTTGTTGAAGGTTGGAGATGAAGGAATCCATGGAGGGGAAGTCGGTGAGGAGGTGTTGCCTGATGAAATCAAGAGTCGAAGCTTCTTGGTTTGGAAACGCCATCTTAATTTGATTGTTTTTGTCTTCTTTCTCTGCTCTGCTGCTGCTGCTGCTGCTGCTGCTTTCTGATGATGGTATTTCAACGGAGGTAAGAAACTATCTAAGTCGTGAAGGGAGAAGGATGATGGAGTGGAAATGGAAGTGTTGAAAGTTTATATAAAGGGAGGGCGGAGAAAGAAGAAGTCTTGGGGGGATGGATTGGAGGATGGTTCCATGGCAGCTTCTGTTGTGAGTGGGTGGGAGGAAGGATCATTATTGCTTTCTTGCTTCCATTACCCTGCCTGGACAAGTGGGGGTATTTTTTTTTTTTTTTTTTGAAGTAAAGAGGAAAGAGGGGAGGCCTTTGTGGATAAGATGCAAATAAATGAGTTATTGAAATTCAAATATCAAATATCGAAAAATCGAATCTGGAATAATGTTATGAGTTTAATAAACGCTTTCAAAATCAATAAGATAATTCAATCGTAATTTCTTATGTTATTTTCGATAATAGGTATATATCAATTACCAAGTTGATTTCCTTCGGTCAAATATAGAAAAACACATACTTTCTCTACCAGCAACTCCACGAACAATTCTCAAAATATATAAAAACAAATAATGGTGTCAATACTCGGTGCAAAACAAATGATGGATTTTGAACTATAATAACAACAAATTAGGGAAATGTTGTGACGAGGAAGCACATTAACAAACTAAAGCAACAAACTGAAACATGTGACAACTAACACAACCTATGAACATACAAGCAAGCAAATGAATTTGTTATGAGTTGTCGAGAGAATGAGTTGTGTTTAGTTAAGTTGTCGTTTTGGTGGTTGAGCGTTTAATATCAGTGAGTGAGGAAGTCTAGTCGGGAGGGATAGAATACACAATAGCTTATATTTCGTTATTATCAGTATTTCGATATTATCGCTCTCAAGCTCGTAATCCCTAATAACAAATAATATTTATTAAAAATTCAAGCACAATCTCGATCCCGTTGATATATTGTGTATCCCGTAATTACAAATCGACAAATTTGATACGGTATTTTATACATCTCAAATACAGTATACGACAAATTTATGGCTGCGGGCTGGGTCCATAAGTCCATTGCATTGATATCCAATTTGACTATTATTAAACTAAATAAAGGGACTGGCTCTCTCTCTCTATCTCTCTCTCTAGTCTCTATCTATCCTCTTCTGGGCCTTCCTGCCACCTTCTCCCACACACGAACTTTTGTCTGTATTATCAGTCGCCATAAGATAACCACAGTTTATTATTTGTCTACGTTATTAATTTAGCGCTATTAAAGTTGATGTTGGGATTAAGTTAAGTGTAACAATTGTTAATTCGAAACGAATTAGTGGCTAGATTCTGCTTCTGGAACCAGACTACCATCATCATCATTCTTCAGCCAAATACAATGATATAAGCAATGCTACGTATAAAACTCTTGGAGCAAAAACAAGCTCAGATATGTTAAGCTTGATTCAACAGGCAATGGATCCAAGCATTCGTATATTGAATGACCAATTACTAAATGCTACATATAAGTTAAGTAAGATTTCAGTCATCAAAATATCAAAGAAATTAATTGCATGGTTGCTCACTGAGATTACAAAAAACATTAAAGTTTGGTCACTCGAAATATTTAAATCCATTGGTGGTACTATAGTTTATTGACACCGTTCATGTTTGGTCACTCTCCGTCCAACTCCGTTAACTTTTGTTTACGTGGCAGTCAACTCTAAAAGTTGACCATTAAATATGTGACATGACAATTTAAAAATAAGGGTTAAAGACACATTTGGTCACTGAGATTACTAAATCGGGACATGTTTAGTCACTAGAAAAAGTTAATATCAAGTTTGGTCACTATAATTACTAAAACGGGACACATTTAGTCACTCGCCGTTAGTTGCCGTCCAACTCCGTTAACAGAGTCTGTTATGTGCTGACGTGGCTAACGTGAGGGCCTAGTCAGCGCCTTTTTGGGCCGGAAATGGTCAAACCCGACCCGCCACGTCACTAAACCAGTCATATCATAACCCCAATCCAACCCATGAACCGAACCCGAACTCGACCCTGAACCAAACCCGATCCACTTAACAAAAGCAAACCCGCCTCACTTCTCCTTCCTCTCGTTCCTCATCTCCCCACCTCCACCTCTCACAAGCTTCCACCACCACAATCTCCCACCGCAAAATGGAAACAGAGCCTCTCCACCCAACAGCCGCCGCCGGCAGCTACCAAGACGAGGAGAACACGTTGACTTTCTCAGGCTGCAACTGCTTCAGCTCCTTATTCTCTGGACGGGGGAACAAAATCGCCAACGACGAAAGCAACAATTACCTTTTGATACAAAACAGGGGAGGAGCGAAAACAGGGGAAGGCGAAAACCCGCAGCAGCAGAAGTTCAATTGATGGAGGTTTCAGAAGTTCAATTACAATGTTGAGAGCTACGTCCTCAACTTCGATTGTGGGTTGGACGAGGAGGGGTATGCTACGTTAATGGGTTTTCAAGAACTTTGTTCTCTCGTCGAGATTAGGGTTTTCAAGAACTCATGAGATAAGTGATGGGTGATTGATCAGAGGTTCGATCAAGAATGGGGTTTCTTGGATCTGGTTGGTTTCCATGGCGACAGCAGGGGAGAAGTAGGGGATAAGTGGTGGGTGAGGGATCGGAGGTCCGATCGAGGATGGGGTTTCTCGGATCTGGTTGGTTTCCATGGTGGTAGCGGGGGAGAAGCAGAGGATAAGTGGTGGGTGAGGAATCGGAGGTCGACGGACGTGGTTGGCGCTTCTGGGTTTGGAGGAGAGCTCGTGGAGGATGTAGAGAGGCTTTGTTCTCTTCGTCTTGGTAGCTGCCGGCAGCGGCTGTTGGGTGGAGAGGCTCTGTTTCCATTTTGCGGCGGGAGATTGTGGTGGTGGAAGCTTGTGAGAGGTGGAGGTGGGGAGACGAGGAACGAGAGGAAGGAGAAGTGAGGCTAATTTGCTTTTGTTAAGTGGGTCGGGTTTGGTTCAGGGTCGGGTTGGGTTTATGGGTTGGGTTGGGTTGGGGTTATGATATGGCTGGTTTAGTGACCTGGCAGGTCAGGTATGACCATTTCCGGCCCAAAAAGGCGCTGACTAGGCGCTCACGTTAGCCACGTCAGCACATAACAGACTCTGTTAACAGAGTTGGACGACAACTAACGACGAGTGACTAAATGTGTCCCGATTTAGTAATTTTAGTGACCAAATTTGATATTAACTTTTTCTAGTGACTAAACATGTCCCGATTTAGTAATCTCACTGACCAAATGTGTCTTTAACCCTTAAAAATAATATGGACAGAAATGGATTAAACTGATCAAATTTGATCCGGCCATAACCTGTTTATATTATTAGAATATGTACAAAAATCAATTAAAGCGATTAAACACAATCCGATCATTGAACCTCAAATCACTCGCCAAACCAGTTCAATGTCTTAATCCGGATTGACAACCTTCTGCAAGAAAAATAGCAGTCACAAGAAAAATAGCAGTCAAGAATAGAGTGGCTTCTGCATTTTCAGCTTTCAGCAAACTCATTTCCGAAGATTGACAATAAGTGTTGGGGCTTCAACATTGGTGTCTGTACAGTTCTTTAATGACAAAAACACATGCATGTGTTACTAATCCACAATATATCAAGCAAATATACTGCCAAATGGAAATTATCACTCTTCAATGAACTGAAAGTCTGAAAACAGCATAAATCCAGCACATAAGCAAGGGTCAACTCAGATACACGCAGTAAGAAACCCATGAATATTCAAATATATGTGAAGGCAGAGGAACATTGTGCTTCAATCCTTTCCCAGTTTTCAACAAGGTCGATGCAACTTCAACTACAACCAAGAAGCTGAGAAAAAGCCTAAACCAGAAGCAACAAAATTAAGTATCCTATAGCAAAGAACACCTTCCAAATCATACGCCGAAACTCCATAACCAGAACCCAACTCATCGACCGAGAAACACCTTGAAGCCACAGCAGACCTAGTAAAAGAAACCAAGAACTTTGCCACCGACATTCTTCCTCCTTGCCTCCTCGTGATCCATGATTCCAGCTGAGGTCGTCAGCACAATGAATCCAAACTGCAGAATCACATTTGACAATTAATATAAGGCAACACGAGCTTGCAAATACTAAGCTACTAGCAAACCCTCAATTTTTTAAGATCGTAAGTAAATATTAAGCTCAACCATGTTACATCACTAACACAACCAGCAGGGAAAGCATTGCAAGTAGGGTTTACTTTCTACCACACTCTGATGAGAAGAAAGAAATGGAACCCACCTGTCTGGATGGAAGCAACCTAGCAGTCCAGCCTTCAATCTCCTTGACACCGACGTCAAAACGAGGACTGATGACACCACACTTGTTTAGCCTCCCATTCAACTCGACGACAATTTTACCAGCCCTGTGATCATCAACATATTCAAACTCGCCAATGTATCCTGCGTACATCAAATGAAGACATTGAGGCATTAACTATCAAGTGAACAATGCGAATTGAATTTATCCAGGATGAGAATGGCAAAGACCCATACCATGCTTTTGCATGACAAGAAGGAACTTGATGATCACTTTCGAGGAAGGTCTGATCATGACCTGGCGCTTCCCGCGCTTCTCCGCGTTGTACATGCTCTTAAGAGCATCATTCAAAACACTAACTCTCACCATTGGAGCTGGCACAAAAAATTATCGAAAGCAAATCGTTAGCCACTACCCACAAGGCTTACACCCAAATTCGTACAGCAATGAACACATAACTAAACACATAGAAACCAAATAACACTCGGCCAATAATCTTATCTCATCTACCGCATCGGAACAGGACATAGCTAAGTTGCAGAGGCATTTATAAGGCCAAAGTAGCGTTCTACAAAACCTATTTGAGGCATGCCTGCTAGTATAAAAACCCCACGGAAAGTTGAATTCTTTTGCTAATTGCAGATTCAAATATGTAATTTTAGGTAAGACAACCGTCTAGTAGTCTTGTCAGAATTAGTCACCAAAACAGCTAAAAACTCATTCACCATTTGCAACATCAGAGACTAATCAGGGCTTAGCTTAGAGGAATTCAAACTTAGGACCCAGAAGGAAGACACAAACTGAGCCGATAAAAGAGACTACTGCAGAAATGAAGGGGCAGAGAATCCAAATACAATAGAAATGAAGGGGCAGTCGCGAGGATCAAACAGAGCAAAATCGAAGAGCAAGGATTTCAGAAATTTTTCGTTTCCAGTTTGTACGCACCTCAACGGAAGATACAGAGAGATCTGGCGCCACCAGCGACTGAGCAAGGTAGAGTTAGGGTTTTGCGAGAGGATGGACGGGACGAAGACCTCAAGTTTATATAGTGCTGGATCCATGGACGTTAGGTCCTTACGGCCCAGTGTTATTGGTATTGTAGCTCGAGAGCAGGCCCATGAGTCTCATATTTTACAGCTATACGGCCCAGACTCAGGCTTACAGCTACAGGCCCATGAGTATCATATTTTCTTTGTTATAAAAACCGAACCAGTCAAGTCACAGCCTGTTTGGATTGACAAAAAAGTAAGGAATTGGAATTCCATTTCCATATATTATGTTTGGAATAATAAAAAGGTTGAGAATTGAATTCCAGTGGGTCTAAAATATGGGAATTACAATTCCTATCAAAAGTTATAGGAATTGAGAGAATGAAGATGGAATTAGTGGGACCCATCAATACTTTTTATTATTTTGTTGACCCACTATCATTTTACTCTCTTTCTCTCTCATTCATATTTCATTTCCCAAAATAAAACAAACATATTACATTATTTATTATGGTTAAAAGTGCAATTCATTTCCATAGTTGTAGGAATTATACCAAACACTAGAATTGGAAATGGAATTCTATAAAAATAAAAAATTGAATTCCATTTCCATTTCCATTTCTTCCGGAATTGTATCCAAACAGGCTGTCAGTGATTTTGTTCATTTGCTTACTACTAGGAATGAATCAAATGACTTTTTACTGTTCAACCCGAAATCTAAAGTCATTCCGAATTGAATTGTTATAAGAACCGAACCAATCAAATCAATGATTTTGTTCATTTGCTTACGGCTAGGAATGAATCAAATGACTTTTCACGGTTCAACCCGAAATCTAAAGAGTCATTCCGATTTGAATGGTTCACTGGTTTACTATTCTAACCACAACAAAAAAAATTAAGAAACAAAATATTGTAATGTAAACTAAGACAGTTATACCTATATTACTAATTTTATCGTTAATTCGTCTTCTTCATTTCCCAAATTCTTTGTTGGCTTTACGTGGTCGACTATCGATGTCACCCTAATTTCTAATTTGCATTAAAAACGTTATGATTTAGGTCTGAATGATTTACAACCATTTTTGTCATGAATGATATGAATTTGAAATTATTTATGATAATGACAAATTCACTCAGAAAATTAGTGTATAATACATGTCTTCTATGTTATGTCTTCTATGTTATAGATCATGAAGATTATGAACTGTTCTCTCAATGATTTTATATTTTGTGTTTTTTGACCTACAAAGGTATTATTGTATTTTCTCGTTCTTTTCCGGAATGGCAAAAAGAACAAATTTTGGGAACCAAATCTACCAAATATGTAATCAAGCCCCCGGCCGGTATATATCGAACTATTTCAGTATTATATATAAGATCGTTTTTGAACTTTGATTACAAGGACACTGATTACATTACAAATTAAGCAGCTAGCCACCAAAAATTGCTCATTATTACTTTCACAACTCTTTCAAGATTACACACAGAAAAGGAACTGACACGAAGACCCTGGGTAGATATACAAAAGGAACATAGACAGACGCTTAAGCAAAAAAACCAAAATTAGAACACCCTCAAAATGTGACACATACTTTCTCTCCATCATCACCCTTCTCTCGACCGACCGGGGCCGAAAACTCGGGCTCCACATGCATAGCTCCGGGGTGTCTCGGTTACGTCGTCTTAAGAGGTCTGCTGACCGGTGACATGCTGCTGCCCGAACTCCGTCGCCCTGTCCTTCATCTCCCTCGCCTTCCCGGCCAGCTTCATCCGAGCTTGGTCCAGCGAATCCGCGCCCGGTGGGTGCCTCCCAGTCACATACCTTCCCAACCACCACCACCACCACAAAAAAAAAAAAAATTTGTGTCAAAAACTTTTTTTTCGCGGCGCGACATAGGGCTTGAATCTTTTTGCAGAAAAAAGACTTGGAAATTTACCTGTAGATCCAGGACAAGACGGTGATGGCTGCAATGCCGAACCCACCGGAGGCCAGGAACCCCGTGGTGATGAGGCCGACGGTGACGAGGGCCGGGACGAGGACGGGGCTGAAGATGACGAGGAGCGGCGTGGCGATGGTCAGCACGATCACGGTTGCCGCGAGGATGAGACCCGAGAGGACGAGCATCGATCCACCCGCGGTGGCCGCGGTGGCGGCTTTCACCACTTGGTAGGACCGCGGCTGGCTCTGCTGCTGCTGCTGGTGGATGGTGCTGCCGTGCTGCTGCGACGGGTCCATTTGCTTTTAGCTTGTTACCCTCAAATTGGACGAATTTTGGATCTCTTTTGTGTAAATGTGTTTTTTGTAGCAAAAGTTTATTTTGGCTGAAAGGGGGAAAAGAAAGAAATGAGAAGAGGATGTTTGAAGTTGGGAGGTGGGTGTGGATTTATACAAAAGGGTGGTGAAGTGGTGAGGTGGAGAGGACACGTGTCGGAAGGTTGAGGCACGTGGTGAGGCGGTTGTCATGCAGCGGTTGCATGAAGGCTCGAACTTTTTTCTGTCTGTGGACACGTTTTGCTAGCTAAGCTAATCGTTTTCGATTTTTCCTTTTTCACCTTCGACTGAATCCGGATGCCGTTCTGACCAGGTTCGGTCAAACCGGTTTATATCGGTGCGTCGTTAAAGCTAGGGCTGTTAATGAGCTGAGCCGAGTCGAGTTTTGTCTTGTTCGTGTTCGGCTCGTTTATAAACGAGTCGAGCTCGAACCCGACTAGTTTATTAACGAGCCGAGTCGAACATGAGCCAGCTCATTTATTAAATCTTGACAAATCGTTAAGAGCGAAAGTTCGGCTCGAGCTCAACTCTAAGATAATTTATAATATAAATACCATAATATTTATATGTCATATGTGATACAAGTGATTACCTAATGTTATGTCATATATGAGATGTATTTGCTTACATATACTCAATGTATTAAACACCATATGAGGTGATATATACAATTTAATAATTATATGTATCATTAACAAACCAACTCATAAAATATAGATTGATTTTCTCATAAACTGTAGTTGAGTTGGCTCTCTAGTCATAATGTTTGGACATCTCATAAGCTCAAAACGAGACAGTTCATGAGTTGTATTAAAGGAGCCACCTAATCGAGCTAGTTCATGAGATTCACGAGCCGAACAAGGTAGAGCTCAAGTTCGACTCGTTTATTAACGAGTAGAGACAAGTCGAGGTTTTTTATAATCGAACGAGCTTTTATCGAGTTCGAGACCGAACCGCTCACGAATAGCTCGACTCATTAACAACCCTAGCTAAAGCAAGTAAGAATGCTACAATCAGTGCTACAACCTTTTTGTAATGGTGGTTTGACCGCGGTGGTACAACTGGTTTACACTCATTGTGTCGGTTTTAATAGAACACATGCGAAAAATATGAAAGTACAAATCCCTATGTCCAATTTTCTTACCATAAACAAAATGACCTCGTTTTTGGTGAACTTAATGAACAGAAAATTGTATTTAGAAAAAAAAAGATGATTTTTCATTATAGTTTGTAACATGTTTTATTTAAATATAAATATATTGACGCTAATTGTTGCAATCAAGTATGAATGTTACGATATAGACAGTAAATATTGTAATTAAATATGTGCATTTATCATTTTGTTTATGAAATTGTATTTTACTGGAATGTGAGTGTAAATTGTAGGGGAGATCTGATCAAAATAATACTAATAAATTATAGGGAGATCGTCTTGACATATGATATATGTATTAATAATTCATTTACTTTTAATAGTTTTTTTTTACTTTCCTTACTGTTTTCTTTTTAAACCGACATTAAACAACATAAATCGATTACACCTTGATATGACCATTCCACTTACTAAATTGGTGTAATGACAGGTTTGACAATCTTGCTCTACATTCAGTGCTCGTATGGAAAAATTCGAAGCAACAAGTGAAAATGTAAAACAGTAGGGTTTTGTTTTCAGCCGTACCAATCAGTATGATCTTCTCACAAACGGGAAATGTCGAATGTCGAATTCCAAATGTTGGAGACATCATTACAAATGGCACTCAGTCCCTCTGTTTTAACTTAACGTCGCCAATCACTATTACAGCTTTGCAACGACGATGAAATGAGAATTAATATAAACAACAATACAAACACTATGAGAGCTTCTTGAAGCTCAGCCTGCAAAACGCTTGATGAGCCAACTCTTTCAACTGTTTGAGCCTTTGGCTAGGGTTGCCTCTTCTTCCAGAAGTTCGACTTTAGCTTTTCCCGCCTTCCGAATCCTGCTTCTGAATTCCCTCCAGAACCAGGTTGCATTTGTTCATGCTGCGTGCATCCAACAGCCCGTGATTCCACAGTTTTACCATCAGCAGTCTCCAGCAACTGCACCAAAAAAAACCCAACTCAATTGCAGCTGAAATTCTGTTTGTAGATCATCTCATTTGCAGTCGTTGAATAAATAAGAAGCATTTTCCTCGAAAGATGTTATTTTTACATACCAGAGCAGGGCTGGAGCTGCTAAGAGGCTTTTCCCATGGAGCCTGGAGAATGCCTCACACGCCCACGGGATGTGCCCATCGGCCAGGACTCTGCCAACATGCCAACAGTTATTGGAAGAAGAAAAAAAAGAATTGAGGAAAATGAAAAGCACAGTGGCGACTACTACTGATCCAAAGGGTTTCTTTCAAACCTCTGCTTCCGGACAAAGGAATTCCACAAGTGCATTATATGTTTCTCGTCCTTGGTCACATCAACAAAGTCATCAAGCATCTGCAGGGCATCATTGCACGAGGCAGATGATTAATATGTGGATTAATAGTACATACATCTGGCCGTTGTTTCATGGCGCAGATTATGGCCGAAACAAATCAAGCATACCCTTCGATCTTCGAAGTCTGCAACATCATCGTCAACTTCATCCTCGCTGTCCACATCCGATAGCACTTGCTCCAATGCCATTGGCTGCAAACATAGGGAGGAGTTCAAAACATTTCTGGGTCATCAAATCCACATATATTTATCTACAAGTTGCATCTAAAACTCTTATGGATATTGCTTCAATAGGTTGCTGGCCAACTTATCTAAGAGGCATGCAGCTGCACAGATGCATAAGTTTCTATTGACACTTTCGAAGGGTTTCGAATGTGTTTGATCGTGTGTGACCACAAATGCATCACAATGATGCCATCTTAAATGCATGGAGATAAAAAGTATTGAAGATACACTCAATGAAAACGCAGATCTCATTTGTTTCTTTTTTCGGAACAATTTCAATCTAAAAAAGAACTGAGACTACAATGCATTTGCACATACACTCGCATAAAAGAACACAAAATGAACTGCAAGTAACTGTAATGAAATTCTACAAATGCACTACCCACTCTCATTGGATTGCGGAGAAAGCGAACTGCTCTGTGGAAGAAGAAAAAACGAGCACTGAAAACAATATTCAGTTACCTGAGCTCTATGTGAGTGAAAAAACAGTCGTTTGTGAAGAAGGCTGCGGCTGCAAAGATACACAAAAAATTTCATAAGCTGTATGAACAATCTGAGAATCATAATCTTGATCCAAAACCACTATCCCCCCCCCCCCCCCCCCCCCCCCAAAGAAACCAACACACACAGACAAAAAAAAAACATAGTGTGCACTTAAATGCATTAACGCCCCCTAATTGGGAGCATATATATCCAAGGGATTAGAGGTGAGCTTAGAACATACTTCTTCAGATCTGACCGATCAGCAGATAACTTCCTCGCCTTGGCAAATTGTATCATTGCAGGAGGAACAACACTGTTATCAGATGCCAACTGAACACCTTCAGCTTCCTGGTGCCCTTGTGCTCCAGAAACTGAAGCCCCAATTTCATCAAAGACAGAAGAAACTTTTCCTGCACCGTCTGCAGCACCACGGCTGATGCTTACCATGCTCTTGCCACCTTACAAACAAGGATCCAGGTCACACAAAGAGGAGGAAAAAGAAGTCAGTGCAACATGATGCTATCAGAAAATACATTTCCGCTTAGAAGGAGAAAGCACTCCCGATGCATCAGCAGGGTTTCTGTTTTAAATATTCTTCTCATAAATTTCGTGCAACATACAATTTCTACCTTCCATCGAGTTCAAACAAAGGCGTTTAACATCTTAGAGCAACCACACAGAAAACCCTTTGCGTATCCCAGAAAATGGCATTCATGCACCACAGAATATTAATTACTCAACCAAACAGATCACCTTTTTTACTCAGCAACCTTTTGCGACACTGCCCTTGTTATCGTCATTCTCAGTAATTGTTCATTGAGATGTAAGCGCATTACCATCTATCCAATTTCAGTTACAATAAACAAAGTACATACCATTAGCTTTATCATGAAGGTCACATGCTCCAGCATGGTGGTTTGACTCAAAGATCAGAGGATAGACATGCTTTACTTGTTGAACATGGCTTTTTGGTTTCCTGCGCCTCGATTTCTTTGAGCTATGATTACATTACCAAATCAATGAGAATCTTTAATATAGAAAAAATATATACGAGTAGTTAAAGCACCTTCACTTACCAAAAGGAAAATGTTTGCTGCTTTGGATCAACACCACGAGCAACAACCTGAAAGCAACATTTTGCACATAAATTCCAAATCGGCAATTTTAACAATCCATATTTGGGACGCAACAAGGTTCCACACTCCAACCACCCCTAATCATTATCATCATACTTTAATCGGTCACAACTCACAACAATATAACTAGGGATATATGCATACCTCAGACCTCCAAACATCGGTTTTAACGGATATATTTACTGCTTGAAATTCTTCAGTTACCTACAGGAAATGAAGTTAGCATTTAGCACCACTTAGTCCGAAGGTCGAATACTTGCAGAAACTCAACGAGGAGATTCTAGAAGTTCACCAACCCAGAACTCAAAGTTGAAGAGATCATGTGAGGCAGGCAAATGGTATCTCAGACCCTGAGAAGAAGATAATCATGTCAGCATCTCTCATCCATACAGGAGAAACCGAAAATATATAGCAACCCAGAAAGGAATGAAGGGAAACATAAGGTGAGGAGGCTCACAATATGAGATCACAAGTTCTACCTTAAAGCTTCCACATTTTACCAAGCAAAATGGACAAGAGAATTCTTCAGTTACTGCAAGTTACAGATCCAAACCATTAGACAAGCAGGGAAGACGAATTTTCAGCTCAAAATTATCATACAACCAACAATTAATCCGAAATAAATAAGAGCTGAAAGAAAAAGTGAATATCCTTTGTCACAGAACTGAAAGTCCTGAGGATAATAGAGCTAAACCCACGTTTCCACAGAAAATAAGAGAGAAATTAACACTACCTTCGGTCTTCTGCAACTTATTATTATAGTACCTATAATTGAAAACAACATTTCCAGCCCTCAACCTAAGCAAGACAATTAGTCATCATTAGAAGCTGGAAGTTGGGCAACAAATCATTTGCATAATGGAACTCTATGCTAGGGAGTAACCAATGAAAGGGACTATAAAGTAGAAAGTTCAGAACATAGACATGCTTCTCCATTTGGTAAGGTGGATAGAATTGCATGGAAACCGAAGACCAAGCCACTCTTTCTACACCAGCCAAATCTCATATCACATAAGGTATTTACCTAATAATATGAGACAAGGAGGAAGAAGAAACATCACTGCATGTGTATGAATGATAGGGAGACTTTTCCCTAGCTCCAATTTCTTCAGCAGAGACATTGACCTGCACTTGCGAAGCATCCTAGCAGACAAAAATAATCAATTGTCAGATAGTTGCCAGGAAAGCTATGCTGAAAAACACAATTGTTTAATATACTTACATTCTCAGACCCTTTTGGAATTTGTACAAAAACACACTTATCACCGTTTGAACAATTCAACTGCAAGTGTAAAATGGATCATTCAGTAGCAGTAAGCACACACAGGAATAAAAGGGACTGAACATCTAAGAGCATAAATCTTAATTAATATTATATGTTAACATTTAACTGTAACCGTAGAACTCTATGCAGAGGGTGACCATCTACTCATGAAGAAAAGAAATGCAAGCTCTAGAACAGTCACCAAAAGACAAAATTTATCTGTCTATCGTCAACAGTTTAGACCTAGAGGCTAAATCAGTAACAGTACGTCACATGCCAAGTGTTATTGACCAATCAGCAGCCCAGGATTATCAAAGACTTTTGGATGGTTTTGCTACATGTCATGCAACCTTACTCACAATGTCTAATGGGCAAAAAAAGGCAAACAAAGAATAAAAGACAATTGTCTCATTCGTACCTTTAAGAAGCATGAATACATGTCCACAGCTGATGCAACCTCTACTCGTTGTCCCAAGGCTAAGTTTGGAGACTTCTGCCATGAAGCATAGAGTGACTCTAGTTGTATCTTGCCCAGTAGGCAGCATCCTCCAACATTTTCTGTCATGAAAAAAAAAACAAATAGAACAACAAAAGAAGACTTGGATAACAAACAAAAAGAAACCATAATAATTTACAAAGGTATCAGCACCTCCAGGGTCCAGCTTAAGAGATGATTCATCCTACTTATTCTATTCACCGTATGCATCCAAATTTATTCTGAAGCATCAATGCAGAGGCCATAGAGAATTATAATTCATCCTAAACTATAGTGTAACACAGCAGACAATTTACCCAACCCTCGGCCAGCTTATGCTTCGCCAGAATCTCTTACACGAAGTAAAAAATAAACTCATCAATATCCAGAAGACCCATGGCACATACTAATATGCACAATAACACCTAAGAAACAGTTGAAACATTTTATATCAGATCAAAGGGATAGGAATTCCAGACCTACATGACTCTTGGTCAAATCAAGTCCATGCACTGCATTCTGAGCTCCAGCTGCAAGGAAGATTCATCAGATGAAATTTTAGCAGCAGAATCAAGCAGAAACTCTGAAACACTAAGGGCAAACTCCATACCGAAGCTGACAAGTAAGAGAGAAAGTGACCCAGAATTTGCTTCCGATGCTAGCTTATTAGATTCTGGAAGTAGGAAATGTGCTTGTGCTTGTGTACTCCCATTAACTCCAGCAAAGTCATTCATAATGCACGCTCGACTAAACCGAAAAACTGCAGAATGCTTCTTCACCGGGCACAAACCAAAAGCAGTTGATTAGCAAACTTTAATAGGAACACTAAGGATAAACTCCTACGCCAACAATTACAGCAAAAGATTGATAAAAGGAATAGATGGTTTCTCACCTCTGGAGTCAAACTCTCTGAAACAAGTCTTGCCAGCAAAATGTACAGAGGAAATGGGCTAGGAGATTGAGAAGCTCCATTGAGTGTCATCGAAAGTGAAACTGTCATTTGTATTCTACATGTACAGCAATAGGAATGTGATTAGTTACTCAGTCATGTTTGAATACTTAAAAGATGAAGAGAAGAAGAAAAAGAGACAATCCCAACTTTGATTAGGAATGCTGCACCCTAGTGTTGGTAACTGACAGTTACAAGCAAATCAAATTAAATGTGAACACCATAAATTCAAACGTTGGGCCAATCCACAAGAAGAAGTATAAAGAAAAAAAAATGAAATATTATGAGCATACACATTCCAAAACGGTCTGCGCCGAACGGTCGAGCCATTGACTATATTGATGCTGAAGTTCCACTCTCACACATCACACCATCCAACAAAGATATCAGAATGTTCAGCCTCATCACAAATTTCTTTTCAAGGGACCATACTAACAGTCACAGAAACATATACCAGTCCCCCCACAACGCAACAATGAATAGTTTCACCAGCATTGTTACTGCCCACCACTAGCATTAATCTAAAGCAGTCTAGACTAACACTGTTACATTCTAGAACATGACAACATTCACAAGTAGAGATTTGTACCTCCTTTTATTCTTTGACTGTATCTTGTACTCCAAACACCTCTGTAGAAACAACGGCTACAACAAGAAAAGAGAACCACAATTCAATCAGAAAACAAAGGAAATTGAGAGACAGAGACTGCCAAGAACTGATCTTTCCCCCCTACACATCCAAATGCTTGCCACAAACTACTCACATTCCCAATAGCCCGACGTTGGAGGATGTTGTAGAGCTCAACGGGCTTGCAATAAGTGGAGAGGCTTTCCTCAGCTGCCATTTCTTCTTCAGCAGACAATCGCACACGACCATCATCACGGCACATCTGATCCGCACTTCGGCTATGCCTGACAAATTTGCAAGCAAAACGAAAAAAAATTCAAACTTTGGACAAAAAAAATTATTTGACTTTGTTTCTCCGGACAAAGCAGACGAAAGGGGGAAAATCCCCATCGGCGAGGAGGAGAAGAAGCATACGAGGAAGTTTCACGAGCCACCAAAGGGATTCCCGGCATTCTGCGGCTACACAGTTCCAGCAGTCAGCTGTTCCATAGCCGTCTAAACCATTCAGTGCCCAGAAACTGGCTGAAATTTTTTTTTTGAGCTTCCGGAAGCCGATGGAAAGTCTATACCCTAAAATTTGTGTTTGGGCTTCGGACAAAACCCTAGCGTGAGGGAGAGTAGAGAAAAATGAAGAGAGGAAGAGAAGAGAAGCGAAAGATTGGAGCAATGGCGGATTGGTTAGCTAATTCCAATCGCAATCTATTTTGCAGGGGAAGAGAATCTATTGGGTCGAGAGAAGCTCGTAGAAAATTTTGAATTTTTTTTTTCTTTTCCGTTTTCCTCTCTCGAGGATATGGAACAGCGAGAAGGCGAGGGGCTAATGGTAAAATGCCGTGATAGGAAGAACAGCTCCGCGCTAGGACAAAGACAAAATCCGAAATGGTTTCCGCAATTCCGCTTTATCGGCTATGACAAAAAAAAAAAATCCTGATATCAAAAAAATTCCTATAGTTTAGTCTTTGTGTCAATTGTGTCACATTGTTTTTGTTTATGACAATTGAAACCCAAAATTCGATTTTTTTCCTCATTGTCGTGAGTCGTGATAACGTCACCATCGTCGATTCTCTCCTCTCTCTCTTTCTAGTGGCTTTCTCGTCGAATTCTTTCATCGAGTCCACAATTCGAATCGCCAGACTCCATGGGGTTCCAAGGACTTGAACTTTCCTTGTATCTGGCCCAACGGAACCGACGCGGCACGCGCGATCGAGCCCTCGCCACCATGGTTGCCCATCTCTCTCCTGAATTCTGGATCCCGAAGCTACCTAGTTCAACCCTATAATCCCCTAAAGTATGTATAGTTTAGTTGTACCAACAAAGTTTTTGGCTTTCAACGCAATGTATAATAGTTTGATGCAATGACATGACTGATGAGAAAGCTACAAAATGCAGAGCATGGAAGACCTTGTCCTAACCTGAACAATTTGGTTGATGTATGACCTTGATGGGTGTGGGTAGCCCTCATCTGATCAATAGTCATTAACGAATTTTAAGTTGGTGTAGAATTTTATTGTTATGAAACGGCGGGGTTACCACAAAATACTCTAAGGGTTACCACAAAATACTCTATCACTGTATTGTCTTGTATAATTTTTTTTTTAATTTTTCTATTATAACGGCTTCTTCATCTATCAGGAAATCTCTGGTGTCCACATACATTTTCATTACGTCCAAAAGCTCTAGTAGCCAACCTAGTCCGTCGAGCATCTCATAAGCTTGCCATCTTTACCAATACCATGTTCCCCCTCATCAATACTCATCAAGAAAGTGACTGAAGGTGATGAAGCTATAACCAATACACATAAGAGGAACAATGGAAGTTGGGTGAGCGAGGAACCTAAAACAAATTATGTAAGCTAATAGTAATGTTGTAAGTTGTTTTACTGAATCGCTATTTACCGCCCGCAGTTTTACTATTTGCCGGCCATAGTTAGAAAAAAAAAGACGATTGACACGACCGGCAAATAGTAACCCTCTTCTTTTATAGGGTAGTTAAAAGTTCCACTAACTTTTGTTAGAAATGCTTGTCCATACAGGAGGAGATGAAACCTGTGCATGCCCAAGCAAAAGCGGACGGGAAGACATTTTCAGTTCGCGAGATCGTTGTTCGTTGAGATGGTACCGAAGAGGAATGCCAAATAGGAAAAGATAAGGAAGTAGGGGTTTTTTCTAACAACTAATGACGTAGCGGTCCGAGTCAGCAAAGGTTGTAGAGTCACTTACTGTGAAATCAGTTGAGCGTCAATTCTGAGCATTTGAAGATTTCTTCAAAAGTGTATTATTCAAAAACTGGGATCATAATCATCATTCGAGCCAAATTTCGGGCCAAAATGCGGTATTAACCCATAGAATTCTAGGAGGCATCGAGTGTAATTTAGACGAAAGTCCAGTAAGGCTACACGTCAACACTCAATTTTTTGAGCTAGTTGTTCTCTTCCTTCCTTCCGGCCCAAGAATCTTATCAACTTCCCCCACCAATCCATACGAAGAACTCTTAACCGGACACGTCACTCACCCAACCAAAAGAAACCAAAATGCTCCACAAATTAGCCGCCGTCTCCGCCACCACCACCACCTCGCCGGTACTTCTCCTCTCCGCCACCGCCTCTTCTTCCTCCGCTCTCTCCAACCCATTCCTCGCCATCCCCAAAAGACTCAAACTTCCCACCTCAAAGCCTCTCTCTTCCAGACCCATCTCCCGTTCCCAGCCCACCACCATGAACATCCTCAACAAGCTCGGGTTCGGCGTCCGGTCCACCGACCCGTCCGCCATGGACCCGACGATCCCCCAGAGCCCCGACGACGATTCCCCCGCCCCCGGCCAGCAGTTCGCCCAATTCGGAGCTGGGTGCTTCTGGGGAGTCGAATTGGTGTTTCAGAGGGTTTCCGGCGTTACAAAGACGGAGGTCGGGTATACTCAGGGTCTTCTCCACAATCCTACCTACGAGGACATCTGCACCGGTACTACAAGCCACTCCGAGGTGGTTAGGGTTCAATTTGATCCCAAGGAGTGTAGCTACGACGCTCTGCTGGATGTTTTCTGGGCTAGACACGACCCTACCACAATGAATCGCCAGGTTTGTTTGTATTGCTTTGAATTGATTGGGGTCGGATTGTTCTTTAGATGGTTAGCAGTTCTTGAGGCTCGTTAGAATATGTCTGGTTGCAGAACTGGGTGATGTCTGTTTTTCTTGTTTTTGGTGGTTGGATGTGATCTATGGTAGTGAAAGCTTGCTGAGTCCATGAAGAAAATTGCTTGATATCTAGGTTTGGAGTGGTAGAGAATGAATTCTGTAATCAGAAATCCCTATCCCCTGCTGATGCAAAGGGGGATCAATTAGGACTGGTCTGCGTCATGGGGCTGGATTGGAAGGAATTCGGTTAGATTGATTTGCTAGAGCGCCCCAATTTTTGGATTGGATAGACTCGATAGCACCTCGTAACAGCGATAATCAGAATACGCGCAGCTTGATATCAGTCTTATGAGAAGATAGCAGGATCAGGTTGTTCAGAACGCCTTTCCGGCTATGCTCTCGATGTTGTTAAACCTATATAGACTGTCGAGTTCTGTACAGCAAAGTTAAGCCGAATAATATACTAAAACCTGAGAGGGAGATCATCTCCGTGGTCTAGTGTCTCATCGATGATACCATGTTAAAAACGTCTTGTGTTCATTCGATTTCGTTCAGCTAGAATTGACAGGTTCATCTAGTATCGCTTGTCAGAGGATCATTTAGGGGCGCGGAGTATGTTATTTGATACCCAACTCAATCAAAGTACGTTCTTAGAATTGGCAGTGCTGGTAATATCAGGCCATTGTGTTCAAGTGTCCGTGATAAATCAGGGTTACACTTGGTGCTTCTTATGCCTTGGATATTATCACCATCCAGTTTTCTCCTTGTCTAATAACAACTGTGATCGCATCGTTCATTAACCATCTGAAGCTGTCGCTGAATCTGATTATGTGTTGGTGATCGACGTTGTACAGGGGAACGATGTTGGAACGCAGTACAGATCCGGGATATACTACTACACACCGGAGCAGGAGAAAGCTGCAAAGGAGTCGATGGAACGGCATCAGAAGGCCTTCAACAGGAAGATAGTGACTGAGATTCTGCCAGCCAAGAAGTTCTACCGAGCTGAAGAGTACCACCAGCAGTACTTAGCTAAAGGTGGGCGTTTTGGTTTCAAGCAGTCCACTGAGAAGGGCTGCAACGATCCAATCAGATGCTATGGCTAAAAGGCGGGCAGATGCTGGCAACTGCCAATGTTCATATAAATAAGCTCATGGTGAAAAATGTGTAGGGGTTATGTGGAGGTGACAATATGAGTTTTATATGCAGAAAAATAAGCTGTGTAAATTTGTGACCCTGCCTGAAACTACATTGCTTCTGCCGCTTCCTTCATGAATATAGCGTTGTGTTTACGAAAGTGTTATTTGGACTAGTTGGTTTGTGACGTGATATTAAAGTTGGTTTGATCATGGTCATGATGGTACGTGTTCAAATCGTCCCAATTGCTGGCTATGAGCTTGGAGCCATTGTTGTTATGCTTTTGCAGAGATGACAGGTTTCCTTTCTTATACTGCCAACAAAACCGACCGACGCCATGTGCTTTGGCTGTCTGTCTCCGAAGATACGATGCGAGACCACGAGATCAGTTGCGCCTCCGGCTTTGGTATCATTGTCAAGATGACATGTGATCAGTTTATTGTAGTTCCTAACAATAAGGCCCAAAATGTAAAGACAAGAAAACCAGACTTGACGAGGCCGATCGAATCGAAGCTCTGTTCTGTACTTGGGATTCACCGTCCGTCAGGCTGCTGCAAATGCAGATTCATAAAAGTATTGTTGTCCCTTCTGCTTATCTAGTGTTACTTTATTCCCCGCCCGGCTTCTTTTACTTGCATGGGTTCTTCTTCGGGGTTCAAAATGAGACTAAAAAATGCTCTAATGGATAATGAATGGCAAATGTGGTTTGGGCAGGTTAATATCTATACCATCATCATTTGCATTTCTATTTTCAAAATATATCTAAATTCATACTCGTCCCAAAACTCGTGAGATAATTTGTAACCTCATCCTTGCAACACCGGATTTCAAGTATTCGTGGGTAATACCCACCTTGTATATAAAATGTTATTATACCTAGAACTCAGCATGTGAATATTTGATTATCATGTTAAATGAACCAAATAAGTCATGAAATCAACAAAGATACAACCATTCTTAATGCGAAGTCAAAAGCATCCAATCCTAAACATCCATTAATTCATACAATAGTACATTCCGTACTATCCAAATTATTTGGTTAGTACACTAGGGAATGTGACACTCAATTACATTCCAGGTCTTTATTTTTTTTAGTTACTCCTCCTATCACTGAGAGATTAAAATATGAATCAAATATGTTTGTATACGGAGTAATATTCTTGGTGAGGCGAGCAAGAGTATTGTGTTTGGAAATGGGGATGGGAGGGGAGTCTAAAACCATACCTATCCTATCAGCATCAAACTTTTTGGGCGGAGACACTCAAGTACTCGCAGTGGGTGGTGGGGTTTGATTATCATCCCTACTTGCTCATCCATACTCGCCTATCAATAGATTAGTAACTAATTGATAACCATCATATCGGGAGTAAACCGCTAACCGACCGACTCTACTATCAACCCTAAATAGAATGTACTATTATCACATTCGATGTCTCAACTATCAATTATCTAATAAATATTGGATCATTGTCCACATTGAAGGCCAATGCAGTCAAAAGCATGATTTTGGTGAGCTAAAATCGTATAAATTGCAAGTGTCACCCGCCCGCATTGTAATACAAATTCTAA